TTACTTTCCTTAAACCCTTCTAAGAGATTGAGATTTAAGCAGGGCACTGGTTTGTTTATTTTCTGGTTTATTTAACTGGGGTGCCTTCCTTTTTCTCTCTGCAAATTTAGGGCTTAATATGTGTGCTGCAACAACTCGGATTCGAGCTCATACCGGACATGGTGTTCCTCTCGTGGTGCTGCATTTCCCTGAGAGCCTGTTTTTATCAAAGAGGTAAGCTTTTCTTTTACCCATTTAGGGTTTCTTTGAAATTTTTGTTTCGATAGAGGGTTTTGAAGGTTTACAGAGATAACTGCTTCTGTTGTTTGTTGGGATCGGAAAAGATCGGAAATTTTCAGTTATCATTTTCTTTTGCATAATGTGGCTTTTGGGTTCGAGTTAACTTCGAGTTTTTGGGGGTTCCTAGTTAGGGGTAGCATCAAAGGTGACAAATTGGGTTGTGTACTTATGGTAGGAGTTAAAAGAATATTATTTGTGCGTCTGAAAATCAATTGAATATTATATTTTTATTTTATTCTTTTAGTTTGCCCTTTATGTGGATTTGGATTGTTTTTGCTGAAGAGTCTTTATGCTGTTTGATTCTGTAGATTATCTGTGCCTCAATGCTGATAAACTTGCTTGATCTTGTTACTTTATTACTTTTTTTGCCATAACTTTTTTGCCTTAATCGCAAAGAAGATATATATATATATTTTGGTGTGTTATACAAGCATTTAAATGCACGTTCTTTCTTATTTCCATATAGAGAATGTACCGAAGTCAATGAGAAAAGTGTGGACAATTAGAAAAATGCTTAAAGGTGTAATTGCATTCGATGTATGCGTATCGGTACTCTTGTGGAAGGGGATGCACTTCCTTCTTCGGTTCTTCCATAACAGATTGAGTATTATTGTTCTTTGACCTTGATGAACCATCAATTTTCCACTTAATTTTGAATAACATTCTGCTGCTTTTACTACACAGTTATTTCTAAATTTACAAGCTTTTTAGTATTATTTTTGACAGACTATACAAATTTCCTACCTTGTAATGGGAAATACTATATCTAGAAATTTGTTTAAATGTCTTGTATCTGTTTTTGTATTCTCCTCTTCCCCAGCACCTTTTTCCCATCTTGGAAGTTCTTCAATTTAAATCCCTCTTTGATTTTGTGTGCACTTTGTCAGTACCCAACCCTAGTTACCCATTTTAAGCTGGATTAAAGCAGATGGATGAGCTATCTGGACCAACTGTGCAGGTTCTAAATTGTGTGGTCTATTTACAAACCATTAAATAGGGTATGATGGTGGGGCATTAAGGGAGTTATACAGATTTTTACTTGGTTAGTTGGTTAGGGGCAAAGGGATTAATGATCTATGCCAAACAGTAACAGTCATACTGAAAATTCATGAAACTATGTGGCCTGTTTGGAAATTGACTGATCTCTGTATGCCTGCTATTAGTATATAATATATTTACTAAATTTGTGCAAACACTTTTTATTGTCCATCCTTTTTTGATGTTGTTTATTGTCCATTCTTAATCATTATCTCAAATTCCATTCATTTTATTAGACATATCAAGTTATCAACATAACAATGAATTTGGATATCATTTTTTTAGTAATCAATAAATCACTTGATCTGATATGTAAACTGACAACCATCTTCCTTGATTATGGATTTAGTGATTCCAAGTTCCCAATGATTGGTCATAGTCTTCTTTGAGTTTGCCATCTTAAGGAATTGTTGTGTTTATATGCTGCTAATGTAATTTGCTTAAGATGTTAACCCTTCATCTTCTTTAAATTCAATTGACTGCTCTTTCTTTCATGTATCTGGAAGAGTTAGATGTCTTCTCCTTTTTTAATCTGCCCTTTTTCCCAGTTAAGATCCAGCAGCTTTTATTACATTGCTTAAGTATTGGCTTATATGTTGATTTTGGTTTATCAATGCTAGGTCCAGAGACTGTAGTGCCGCAGCTGATGCCTGCTGCGATGCAAGGATTATCCTATATTTTGACGTTAGACTTGAAAAACCTGCCTCTTAAGGTACTGTTGGAATTCATGAATTGATATACTTCAGGTTTGGAATAGGGAATGAAGCCATTGGTCCGTGTAGTGTAGGATAAATGTATTTATATTGAATGTTTACTGTAAATTGTCTGTCTGTGTTGAAATTATTTTGATTTTGGAAACGTTGTTTGAACTTCTTTCTATCTTCCAGTTTTAATGCTACTCAAAACTAATATGCAATCTCTCTGTCTCCCTCTATGGAAGTTCACCTTACTTTGTTCAGTTCTAGAATCTCATTGACATTGTCAATGGGGCATAAGAAGCTGCTAAACAGTAAATTTCAGCTAATTTCACTTATTAACAAAATGGGTGAGCCGATTTCAGCAGCCATTTTTGCTCTTTTCACCCAAAAATGTGTAAAACCTGTGGGTTATGAGTCCCAAACCACTTTCTCTCTTTTGTCAAGAAACATCATCGAATAGGTCAATCACTCAATGTTGCTTCCCTATCGCCTTCCCCTTCCTGGCCCTAGGCCGCCTGCATTCTTGTGGGCGACCACCATAATGGCTAAACCTTTCGAAGTCATGGCAATAGTAGTAAGTCCTGTAATTCTTCTGCGCCCATTTCAGCAGAATCCTTCCTTTTGGATCCAGCCTTTGAATTTGCCAGGCATCGGTGGCTAAATAGTTTCTGTAGTATGTTATGAAAGGTGCCTTGGCCCAATCCAGCTTCACCTTTCCTCCCCTTGTAGCCCATCCTTCTCCATTCCAGAGGCTAGCTAACACCTTCATCCTCCGGGTATGCGGGTAAGGAGTTCCTTGTTGGTTGCCATACACTCTGATCGGGATGTTATCCACAAAGAACCTGAATATAGTGAAGTTAAAGTCTTGTCAGAAAATTCATTTTAGGAGATGTAATAAAGAATTATGTATGTATGTATCTTATACTTACATAATAGCTTGAGGACCCCATACAATGGAGTAAGAGTGAAAATTTGCTGATGGGTCAAACCAGAGTTTGAACTCTTCCTCCCTGCCCCCTTGCCCATTGATAAACACATTTGTATGGACAGTGTAAGGGGAACCACTTGTATTGCCTAAGAATTCAAAATCAATTTCATCGTGATTCGGTTCATCACCAGAAGTTAACTGCAACAACAATGACAATAACAAATAATCAATATTAATGATGAATTAATTACAGGTTAAGCTCTTGAGAGGTTTTGTATTTAAATCCTAAAAAAACAAGATCGTACGTAGAAAGTTGTAACTGTTCCAGCAGAGTTACCAGGAATGAGCTTCATTTGCATATCAAACCTTCCAAAAAGAAAGTCAACTTTGGAGCTGAATCCAGCACCACCATTTTTCTGGTCCATGGTGAGGGTGAGAAGCCGGCCTCCGTTGAGTATTTGAACATGGGGGCCACCCCATGTTGGCACCACGTCCTGGAAGAAATCTGCAGAGGCTGAAACCAAGGAACAGAGGATGAGAGAAAGAAGAAACTGGGACGAAAACCCCGAGGCTGCCATCTTTGCCGGGGGAACTTTCCGGTAATAGGAGCAGGTTTGACGTGATAATTGAACTCATGTTGAGACTTTATATAGATACCGGCCTTACGGGAAAATTTGAGGTCAAGCTTGAATTTCTATATTGAATTTTCCTTGAATAGATTTGCCAAAGAAAACCTCGAGAAATCCCATGAACCCAAGAAAAAATATATACTATAGTGTAGCGAAAATTAAAAATAAAAAATTACAAAACCAACGGTGTAGGTAACTTAGTGGTCATTTCTTCTGCTGAAACTAAAAGGTCGAAACTTAAGTCGTATTACTTGTGGGTGGAGTAAGATAAATAACGAGAGGTAGTAATTTCTCATTGTACAATTAAGATAAAAAAAAAAAAATTACGAAGTTGAAGGTTATGATTCCAATGTGCCTGGCCTCATAATGCTGTTGGTTAATTGGACAAGAAGAGTGAAGGACACTCTCTTAACATTTTTTTTAACACTCTTTATGATTCATTAAATATAAATTTAATATAATTAATTATTAATAATTGATAATATTAGATTTTATAGATCAATTATCAAGTGCATTTAATACTTTAATAATAATTAAAATTCAAGTCAAGACACTTTTATACTAAAATTTCTCATCTTTTATCTTTAAATTGTACTTATTCAAAATAAATTCTTAATGACTAATTTTAAAATTAATATTTTTAAATTTTAAAATTATAACCAATCACTTATGTTACATGTGTCCTTATCACATAAAAAATTTCTAAAGAAAGAGAGTTGGAGAGCAAGCACTCCTCGTTGGACAATTATGCTGGGCTTAGTGACATTTGCCCAGAACAAAAACCATGCTCCAATTAATTTTTGGACAATTATGTGCTGGATTTTGACACAGGAATTACTAAATAAATCTTGAGCAAAAAAGAAAATAAATTTTCGTACCTTTTTTATTTTTCTGAAATGAGGAAAATCGTGGCTAATGATGGTATAATTTGCTTTTCGAGTACAACTAAACTACTAAGAGTCATAATTTTTGTCCAAAACCAACAAGCATATCGTGATTTGATTCCCTAAACAGAATCCATCTCTTGTACTAATGATGTTTTATTATTAGTTTTTTTTTTTTTTTAGTTTAGACCGTCAAGGTTTTTCTTTTTCTTTTTTTTTTTTGGCATTTATCACTTATGACAAACAAGGTTGAGCCAAATTCAACAATATAGGCTGTGTAAAAAAATTCAACAATATTGGGAGTATATAATTCTCAAAGTGTGTTTGGTATGCAAATGAATTAAAATTCATTTTATTTTAAAATTAATTCATAAGTGAATTTATTTAAAATAAATTCTTATGCTTTAAAATATTTGAGTGTATTTGGTTTAAATGAAAAAGGAATTCATTTCATTGTAAAAAAAAGAATTCATTAGACTCATATAAGTAAATTTTTATATTTGCATAGAAAGGATCAAAATTTGGGACTAATGGTATTATATAAGCTATGTCATTAAACAAGCTGTCACTACAAGAATACACAGAATTACCGATGAAACCTCATGTCGGAAATCAGGAGTGAGCTTGTCGGTAAATAAATTTTCCAACTTATACTTTGTCGGTAATGTACTTGTCGGTGTTGGCTTCCTCGGTAATTACTTCACCGATGTGAGAT